AGGGCCCATGCTTTCTGATAATGTTTTATCATTTATTAGCTGTGAGACTCTGAACAAGTTATTTAACTGCTCAGAACTCAGGTCTCTCGTCTATGAATGGGAATACCACTACAGCCTGAACTCATAAGATTATTTGTGAAATTAAATAGATGATATAAGTAAAAGGGTGCATTGATGCCATGTAACTCATAAAAATGCGGCTTTTAGAGGCCTTAAAACTCCTTAATATATGTTAATTCATATTTATTTAGTTTATATATCTATCAAAACTCCAACTGTCTAACAAATATATATACAGAACTTGAGTCTTTGAATTCAATCAACAAATATTTCTGCCTGCCTACTATTGTGCAAGATATTGTGTAAATCACTGGGCTAAACTGCTAGGAATACAAACTAAATCACTAGTGTGTGTGCATGTGGTATACTGTCCATTCATACACAGGCAGATGAGACACCAATATTTGAGTATTAAAAGCCTGATGTTGCATGCAGATGCAAATCTTAGCACTGATATTAGGCAGGGACATGCAAACATTTAATACATAACTTACATATGCCTATTATCAGCCCCTACCAAGCTGTTTTACACCTAAAGTACAGGGAAGTATTAGAGGAAAAAATAGCAAGATTAATTCCCTATGAGATACATAAATAGAGATGATTTTTATTTACGAGAGTAACAAGTGTTAGGGAGATGTTGTCTTTGTAATTCTGTAAAATCCTATGACAACAAACTCAGCCTTGCAAGCTGAGTAGTAGTGGTTTTCATCTTGGGACTGACCAGGCCAGACACACATTAGAGAATAGGAGCAGGGTGGGTAAAGAGAAAGATACTCCGCAGAGGATAGAATGATCTACCCAGCGGTGTATGACATTTTTCCTTCCTGTAGCTTATCTCAGAATACCCTCCCTCCTGCCTCAAATGTGGCTGGAAAGAAGGAGAGAGTGGAGGGAGTAGGACCATGGCATGAGATACATAACAATCCATGCTCTTTTCTACCTAAAGATGTCCTGCATTTAAAATTGCATTATATCAGGCTAAGCAATTAACTCAATTTCTGCTACATAATTTCCTCCCTGATTTTCCTGGAAATTAACACACAATTCTTACATACGCAACAGAGTACCTTGAGCAAGCCCCGATGTCTCCAAGAGAGGAGTGCATCTGTAGTGAAGGAGAAAGAGCAAATATAGGTATTTATGCATATATGATGAACCACACAAACAAACAAACAAACAAAACCAAAACAACTATCCAGGCATCATGGTGCATGCCTGTAGTCCCAGCTACTTGGAAGGCTAAGGCAGGAGGATCACTTGAGGCCAGGAGTTTGAAGCCAGCCTGGACAAAATAGTGAGATCCATCTCTATAAAAATTAAAATACAACTATCCAGGCATGATGGTGCATGCCTGTAGTCCCAGCTACTTGGCAGGCTGAGGCAGGAGGATTGCTTGAGCCCAGAGTTTGATCTGCAGTGAGCTATGATGGGGCCTGGATGACAGAGTGAGATGCTATTCCTAAAAATAAAATAATTAAAATTAAAAATATAATAAAAAGGGAGGTGGTAAAAAAGTTTGGAATATCCAGCAAGACTACAGAGTTCATATAATCCATAGTATAAATCATATGCAAACAAAGAAAAAACTACTAGGAAGAAAGGATGTTTCTTCTTTTGGGAGCAACATTAGTGGGAGAACCCTACACACAATTTATTAACATTTTGTCAGTGGAGGTACTCATGTGAGAAATAATTACTTGAGTGGCTTAGACTTGACTCCTATGTCAAATCCGAGTGAATACAGAAAATCTAAGTGGAAATACCTTTCCATTGCCTTCTCTGCAACCTTTAGCTGATCTGGAAAGGCTTGAATTTATGTGTCTGAGCTCACAATATAAACATAAATCTCATCTCATAGTAAAGAAAAAGTGTGACAAATTCTCATAAAGGCTTATTTTTAAATAAACTGTTAGAATAAGAATATGAACAGGAAAGGCATAAGATAAGGAGCACTGAGTGGAGGAGACAGTTTAACAATTGACAAAAGGTAGGATAATATTAATATAAGCCTCTGTTCATCCATCCTTTCCACTAAAGGGAAGAATCCTTAAACATGAAAAGGGAGCTGAAACTTGCCATTGTCGAGAAGTTGGCAAGAAAGCCCATGACTATTCAAGTTCAATAGGTCTGATTTCCAAAAATAAGTTCCTTATAACACTAATTTTGCATGATATTGAAAAGGTTTTGAGACAAATTATCTAAAAAATGCTGGGTTAAATAGTTCTCTTCAAGGTGGTTCTCCTTAGAGTCTGAATATATAATACAGAGCTACAGTTATGCGCAATGTTGCCCAAACTAATTTTACCACCCAGGTTACTTCACAGAACTAATGTGTTGGTAGGGGAGTTGCAAATATTTATATAATTACAGAACTGCCACTGATAATATCTGAAAAGCTAGCTACGAAGATGAAGAGATACCTGAAAACTTTAGAGAAACAAAAGAGTTCCCATAGTTCACAAGTATGAAAAAGATGAATTATTGTATTTGCAGACATTTAAATATGGCATATCAATTCAGAGTAAAATCTGGGCAGATTAATATGCAGCAACATTTTAGAATTGATTATTCAATTGATTGTTTTAATAAACATTAGGAAGTGATAATCATTACGAGTCAATAGAATTTTTCATGACTCGTTTGAGGCCAGGTGTGGTGGCTCACGCCTGTAACCCCAGCACTTTGGGAGGCCAAGGCAGGAGGATTGTTTGAGACCAGGAGTGTGAGACCAGTCTGGGCAACATAATGAGACACCATCTCTATAAAAAATTTTAAAATTAGCTAAGCATGGAGGCACGTGCCTGTAGTCCCAGCTACTCTGGAGGCTGAGGTGGGAGAATCGCTAGAGCCTGGGAGTTTGAGGTTGCCGTGAGCTATGATCAGGACACTGCATTCCAGCCTGACAGAGTGAAACTCTGTCTCTAAATAAATAAATAATTTAAAAAGAACAAAAAAAAGTCATTTGAAACTGACTTCATTTTCTTCAAGTTAGGGTTACCAGACTGATATAATAAATTAAGGAAACCTGAATTTCATTAAGGTTCTTGAAAAAAGGTCTTAAGATTTTCTTATGGGAAGAATAAAGACATATCAATTATTAGCCAATACACAATCTCATTGAAAGGGAGATTGATACACAGATTAACCCAGAAGGTCTTTGAAGAAATACAATTTGGGCCTGTAATTGTGCCAGTTCTTTTCAATGCTTTAATCAAAGAGAGTTTTGAGAACAGAAAGTACGATGATCAAATTGCTGAAGACTCAAGGGAGAGAGAAAGAGAATGAATGTGTTAGGTAATAAGATCAGGTTTTAATATTACATTATGAAATGGACCTGATAGATCCAACCCTCAATCGAAATTCCTACATTTAGTTTTGTTTTGGGGAAATACATACTTTCCCCTTCTACGGAATACAGTTTACTGGGACTGGCAGTCAAGCTGTCCTGCTCTCTTGGGACTCAGAACCTCAGTGAAATGATGCTGGGACTGGAACAGCAGCAGAGTGCATTCAGTAGAGGAATCTGCCCTGGTGAGACTGTCAATTACTTCCTTCTGAGACCCTTGGAATCCTGGTTCCTGTGGGAGCCTATTTGGAGTCTTTCTGTCTGTTCTGTGATCTACCCCATATTCTGTCAGCATATTGTTGCTACTTAAGTGTGCAAATTTCTGATCCTTAGACTAAAGAACCATAACTATTCTGGACTAATACAATTCCTGTAGTCTAGCTATATCTAGCACCACTGCTCCTGTAGAGAACTCAGGACTTGATGTCTAAGGGCCCATGTTTCTGTATTAATGTTATATTTATTAGCTGTGAGACTCTGAACAAGTTATTTAACTGCTCAGAACTTCAGGTCTCTCATCTATAGAATGGGAATACCACTACAAGCCTGAACTCATAAGATTATTTGTGAAAATTAAATGAGATGATATAAGTAAAAGGGTGCATTGACTGCCATGTAACTCAATAAAAATGCTGGCTTTTAGAGGCCTTAAAACTCCTTTAATATATGTTTTATATTCATATTTAATTTATGTTTATATATCTAGGCTCCAAACTCCAACTGTCTAACAAATATATATACTAGAACTCTTGAGTCTTTGAATTCAATTCAACAAATATTTCTGCCTGCCTACTATTGTGCAAGATATTGTGTAAATCACTGGGCTAACTGCTAGGAATACAAACTAAATCACGTAAGTGTGTGTGCATGTGTGTATACTGTCCATTCATACACAGGCAGATGAGACACACAATATTTGAGTATTAAAGGCCTGATGTGCATGCAGATGCAAATCTTAGCACTGATATTAGGCAGGGACATGCAAACATTAAATACATAACCTTACATATGCCTAATTATCAGCCCCTACCCAAGCTGTTTTACACCTAAAGTACAGGGAAGTATTAGAGGAAAAAAAGTAGCAAGATTAATTCCCTATGAGATACATAATAAGTAGAGATGATTTTTATTTACGAGAGTAACAAGTGTTAGGGAGATTGTTGTCTTTGTAATTTTGTAAAATCCTATGACAACAAAACTCAGCCTTGCAAGCTGAGTAGTAGTGGTTTTCATCTTGGGACTGACCAGGCCAGACACACATTAGAGAATTAGGAGCAGGGTGGGTAAAGAGAAAGATACTCCCCCAGAGGATAGAATGATCTACCCCAGCGTGTTAATGACATTTTTCCTTCCCTGTAGCTTATCTCAGAACTACCCTCCTCCCCTGCCCTCAAAATGTGAGGCTGGAAAAGAAGGAGAGAGTGGAGGGAGTAGGACACATGGCATGAGATACATAACAATTAAGATGTCCTGCCATTTAAAAATTGCATTATAGTTCAGGCTAAGCAATTAACTCAATTTCTGCTACATAATTTCCTCTCTGATTTTTCCTGGAAATTAACACACAATTTCTTACATAGCAACAGAGTACCTTGAGCAAGGCCCCGATGTCTCCCAAGAGAGGAAGTGCAATCTGTAGTGAAGGAGAAAAGAGCAAATATAGGTATTTATGCATATATGTGAACACAATGCAATGCAAACATACAATGCAATGTAGACATTTTTTCCTCAAAATGCCATGACAGTTGATATTTGGAGCATGAGGTTTTTAGAATCTTACTGTCAGAATCGTTGGCTTAGCATTATGTTTCATATCAAGAAACTGACACAAGGCACTGACAGAATTCAGAACAATTTCTGAGAAATATTCACTCTTCCTCTACCATGAACATGCAAACACACATATATCATAGCTTTGATTCTGCAGCTCTATTTTATATTTTCATGACATAGCCATCTTTATGTCATCCCTAGTATGTTATTGATTTCAAATAATGCATACAGATAAATGATTTATTAAAAGGAAATTACTGGGGCAAGCATATTATCAGGCTGTTGAGAAATATGAAAAGTATAGGATGAGTTTGCCTTAAAGTTTTTCTTCATAAAAGTTCAAGAATGTCTACAGTTGGCTGAAGTGATAGACAAGACGGATACTGAGGGAACTTGGGCCACTTAAGACACTGGCTACATGTCTTAAAAATGGATGGGTATATACAACCACAATGAGTAAGATGTGCAACGTTTGGGGGATGGGCACGCTTGAAGCTCTTACTCGAGGGGGGAGGGGGGCATGGGCAATATATATAACCTTAACACTTGTACCCCCATAATACACTAAAATAAAAAAAAATAACTGACAACCTAGGAAAAAAAATAAAAAAGAAAAAATGTCCTTGCAGAGAAACACTCTGTAAACCCAAGTAACACTTTGCACGATTTCCTGATAACATACATGTGATTCACTCAGCGATGAAGTTAAAGTAATGCCAAAAGATGCCTCCACACATAGCTTATAAAGGCACATAGGGCCCTAACAGTGTGGTAGGTAGAAAGGGTTTGTGAAGCTTAAAATCAAGAAGCCAGATTTGGGTTTTATTATACAAGATTCTTAATACAATGTCATGTACCATATGGCTTCGCAAATTATAACTGCCGAGTCTGAGGCTATTTAAAAGGATTTCACTGTCGCTCAAAGCAAAGTTTAACCTAAAATAAAACTTTGGAACACACTTTTAGTGCCCTAAACCCATTTTTAAAGAGCCTACTCAAGCCAGTTTTCATAATTTAATCATCTCAGCATTTTTAAAGCCACGAAAATCAATAGCTACATACCATATTGTAGGTAACTTACCTGCAAAATTTCATTTAGAAAAATGAAATTCATTTAGTCACTAGCATTAGAAAGAATAGAAATCGTGGCTATATATTTTATCTCCATTTTCCATGGGATTGAGACATTACATGCCAAGGCTCAGCCTGGGGCAAAATTGTACAGTTGAATTATACCCTTAGGAAATAAGTATTCTTCATACACACAAAAAATGCTGATGCAGCTTGAATTTTTTTTCCCCTCTACAAAATAATGGGGATAAACAAAATCACCCAGCAGTCACTGAGCATTCTAATTAGTTTAGACAGCAAAACTTGCTTGGTAGGCTGTTTGGCTTCCGGGTGCATTAAAGATACATAAATCAAGCAAAGTCTGCCTACATACCTGGTCACCTGGCGGGCCAGGTAGGCCTGGCTTTCCATCCCTTCCTGGAGCTCCCTGAAAAAGAAGTATCCATGTTCAAATCTTTGCACTGGTGACATAGGTACAGATTAAAATGGAGGAGGCAGATAAAGAAGGTCCTTACATCATTCCCTGGGGTCCCTGGAGTTCCTGGCAACCCAGGGAGACCTCGAGGACCCTGGAGAAAAAAAATAGTTACTTATGAGAATAGTCTTTCAGTCATTTTCCCCAAGCAACAAGCTGGCTTAAATAGCTTACCTGAATACCTGGCTCTCCAGCTGGTCCTTGGGAACCCTGTGTAAATGAGAATCAATTATCAGAATTCCACCAGGAATGTTCACAAATTATCCAAGTGAGATAAAAGTATTGCGATTTACTTAGTGGAACAAGAGAGTTTGCCACTATACACACTCTGAAAACTCTCTGCAAAGTCAGCCAAGACTTCCAGGTGGTAGGTAAACAATTAAGCAGGTAACTGTTGCTAGAAACATCAACATGATTTTGTTCAGATACCTGGGACATCTCTCTCATTACCATCATCTGTCACCACACATTCATGAGGGGTCAAACAATGCATCCAAATACTATCTGTTCAGAAACAGGAGAAAGTGGCTTGGGGCTTCTTTTACTTTCAGCTTTCTACTTAGAGTCATTTCTCTCTGCCAGAACCAGTGTTCAGTAGCAAGAATAGGAAGTCAAACATCAATTGGTTATTCTTTTCTATTTTTAGAAAATTAGAATTGGGTGGGGGTAACTAAAACGAGGTTGGGAGATTATTGGAGAATTTAGTGACATTAGTTGTATCCCTCTTATATAATCAGGGACTACCAAATGGGGAATTTATAGCTTAAGTCAGCGAAGACCTGATTTCTTAGCAGTTGACTTCAGTAACCACTCACTCTGCTCACTGACATTTTTTACTTTTAAAAAAATAAATATCCAAATCACTGCCACTATCACAGCTACTTTTTGCTCCCTTTCTATTTATACTGTGTCCCAAAGTGATTTTTTCCTTCAATCTCCATTATTTCCCTAATAATTTTCTGATAGAATTTTTTTTTTTTTTTAAGACAGGATCTCACTCTGTTGTCCAGGCTAGAGTGCTGTAGCATCATCATAGCTCACTGCAACCTCAAACTCCTGGGCTCAAGCCAACCCACCTGCCTCAGGCTCCCAAAGTGCTAGGATTATAGGCATGAACCACTGTGCCCAGCCCTGATATAATTTTTAAACTTTGTTTAATTCTCATCTCCAATAGTCTTTTATATTCTTGCCCTGGAAAATCAAACAGCAGTGACATACGACATAATCATTCACAATTAATGCTTTCTTTTGACTTTCATGATAACTTCAATATAAGGGCTGTGATATTCTGCTATAAGAAATATATATTTAGTCTCTGCCCCTAGTTCTTGGCACAGAGCTCCTAAAACCCTTGCAATTTCCTCAAGAATAGGTTGCTAGGAGAAACTTTTGTTCTAATATTTGTTTTTATGACCTGGGTTCCTGACACAGGGCTCCTACTCTCGTGGAACTTCCTGGGTCATAGGAGGGTCTTTTGTTCCAATGAGGTGACCCTTGATGGGCTCCTGGATAGGGACTGGTCCCTAGAAAGACCAAGCCATGATCAGAAGACTGGAACTTTCAGCCCCACCCCACATCCTCTGAAGAGGGGAGAAGGGCTGGAAATGGAGTTAACAGTCAATCTTGCTGGTGTGATGAAGCCTCCATAAAAATCCCAAAAGTATGGGGTTAGAGAGAGCTTTCGGGTTGATGAACACACCCACGTGCCAAGAGAGATACACCCCAACTCCACAAGGACAGGACTTCCTGTGCTCAGTGACCCTTCAGATCTCTCCTTTTGTATCTCTTCTGACTGTTCAGCTGTGTCCTTTATCATATCCTTTATTGATACAATACACCAGTAAGTGTAAGATAGCATTTGTTTGAGTTCTGTGAACCACTCTAGCAAATTAATAGAACCTGAGGAGGGGGTCATGGGAACCCTCAATTTATAGGTTAATCAGAAGTCCTGAAGGCCCAGTTGTGCAATTGGCATCTGAAGCAGGGGTCAGTCTTGTGGGACTGAGCCCTTAACCTGTGGGATCTGACCCTAACTCCATGTAGATAACATCAGAATCGAATGGAATTATGGAACAACCAATCAATGTCCACCAGAGAATTGATGTGTGGGGGAACAAAACCTCACACATCTGGGGTGGAAAGTGAAGTACTCTGTTGAGTGTTAACAGCACAACAGGGAAAAACAATTTTTCCATCACACCACAAGCCAATTTCCTAAATTTGTGTCATTAGAATAACTATTTATTTCTAGTTCTCTTGTTCCAAAGTTTTTTTTATGTTTTTTCATAGTAAATACAAAGTTTTATATTTTATTATTACTAGTTTATTAACATTATTTAGTCAGCAAGTATTCATACAGTGGTCATTACTATTAGACATTATTCTAGGCTCTGTCCTTATAGTAAAAATTCATTTAAAAACTGCCCATTATTTGTTTTCACCACTAAAAATATCTTCTCTCTTCTTTAAGATATTACTTGCAGCTTTTTGGTATCATTGCACTTATACATACCCCCTCCACTTTGAGTGTCAGCTTCTTGCTTTACTTCAGTGAAAAATAAACAGTAATTTACAATGATCTGATATTAGGCATCCTTATCTTACAAACATGCATTTGTGCTTTTTAATACATAGAATAGAGGCATAAAGGGTTAAATGACTGCTTCTCCTCCAAGATAAGTATGTGTGACCAGCATCTGTGAGTCAATGAACAGTGAGTACTCTCTCTGTGCTTACTGATATAAATTCAATGCCTATTAATCCTTTCTGGGTAGTATTTATTTGTAGTTCTTCCTCCCTCTGACCTTTCTAGTTTTCCTCATCATTAAAATTTGTCACTGGATTTTGTTTCACGATATTGGAGTCAACAAGGTTTTAAGGACTTGATTGGGTTTCACTTACTGTTCTTCCAGGAATTCCTATTCCTGGTGGGCCTATGTCACCTGGGGAACCATGAACACCTGGCAGTCCTCTTTCACCCTGGGAAATGAAATGCTTCTGTTAGTGCCAGGCTCAAGAGACATGAATTTTTCTGATATCTTTTGTTAATTATGAATTCCTCACAAATTAGCTATAGTATTTTTATACCTTTGGCCCACGTGGACCAGGTGCTCCAGGATTTCCATCTAATCCCTAAAGAAAATAAAGAGGTATAAATACATCTCTTTTTCCAGAAGGGTTAAAAATATCTTAGACATCATAGCTAAAAAATGTTTCATTGCTCTTCATCTTACTACTTGAATATACCTTTTTTTGTAAAAGAATAAGGAACAGGGAATATAAACTTCAATGAGTTATAGATTTTGTATGGTTCATTTAAAATATAAAAGGTTTTAATCTATAAAATGAGGCATCTGATACTGAGAACTATATTTATTATTATTAATTAACATAAAAATTTCCAAGGGGATGAGGAAAAGTACATGTGAAACAGGCACATTCATTATTTAGATTTTCCAGTGATCCAGTTCTCTATGTCTTGGAAACAGTCTGGGTCACAAAGACATTTTCTGCAAATGACAGCCTACGGTGATACCTGCAGAGCCTCTGGAAGGGAAATTTTAGGCAGTTGTCCTGTTTTAAGACAGTGTCCTAGGAAGGCTGATGGGTCAAATGCAGTACATGCAGTATATATCCCCCTAAGGGATCCATACATAGGATTTGGGGGCCCATGACTCTTCCAAAAATCACATGCAGAATGTTGAGTGCCTGTGTATTTTCTTCAGAAGAAAGTCCATTGGTTGCATCAAACTTTCAAATAGGTTATATGTCTAATCTAAAGAGTAAGATGAATATTTCTTGTTTTGCAGACCTAAACTTATTCCTGTACTTATGATCTGAAACTGGAAACCCACAGGTAGTAATTAATGAACTTTAAAAAAAAAATCAGTAAAAGGGCTAGTACTTACCGGTTCCCCTGGCAGGCTTTTCCCGGGAGGACCAGCCTCGCCTTTGGGACCTGGAAGCCCAGGAGGGCCTATAATCCCACCTGGATCTCCCTGGGGAAAACAAAGTAAGATTCTTATTTTGTTCCTCAGGTTCAAAATAATAGGGAAGTGGGGAGACAGCAGTTTCCATTAAGTTGTCATTGTAGCCGATTAAACTTCATTCATTCACTCATTCACTCACACACTTGATAATATTTACTGAGTGCCTAATTCATGTCAGGCACTGTTTTATTTATCTCACATGCATTTAGATTTCGTAGTAAGTTATGTTATGATAAGTTTATCAGTATCATGAAAAATATGCACAAAAGGAAATATCTATTCATAAAGTTCTCTAGATAATCTTTATATTTTCATTAAGTTATTTCTCAATAATGGTTGAATGTTAACATAGTATTTCCATGCAGACATTAAGAATCAAGTCTTGAAATATTAAGAGACTTCTTAGGTCTGTGCCACTATTGGTAGCTGAGCCTGAAACAGACTTTCAGAGTCCTGGACATCTTCATTTTTAAGTTAGTTCATTTTTGTCCTATGACATTTTTGTGCCAGAACCAGGGCTGCAGCAATGCACCACTGCAGGGAGGGCCTTCACACTGCAGTTGGTGTGAACCTCTCAGATTCACACACAATCTTGGAAGCCCTTTGCTGTCCTTTCACTTCCACAACGCCCTTATGGTCCTCTGTTTCTTCCTTCTACCTACCTAATATACAAAGTGAGTAAAATGTCAACTATACCTTTTCTCCTTTATTGCCTTGTTTTCCTGGGATACCATGTTCTCCTGGCAATCCCTAGAAAATTCGATTAATGGAGAAGAGCAATTAGAACCTTCCTTATTGTGATAACCTTTCTATCTGTGAATCTTGGTCAAGAGAACAGAATTTTAACATACAACCAACAAGAGGATAATTGATTTTGGCCTTTTAGACAGGCAAAAACATTAGTGAAAATATGTGTCTTGTTGTTTTGAGTGAAGCCACTTGGATGTAATGAGAAAGAAAGTAAAGGAGAATTGAACCAAATGTCTTACCCATATCATTGCCAAGAAATGGAGGAAGGATGGTTTGGTTGGTAGCATCGAATCATGATTCAGGACAACAATAGTAAAATATGCTTTTACTATGTTTTGGAAACAATAGTTCTTTCCTCTTTTATTTTATTCTTTTTTTTTTAGCTCCAGCCATTATTACTTAATCTCAGTTTTTGAGCATCTTGTGGCTCCACCTGTGCCACCAGGATTTTCTCTCTTTTCATAAGATCTCTATGCTCGGAACACCTGTAGTGGTCCAGTAGTTGACTTAGTGGAGTGCTAAAAAGCCTTGTTCTATAAACTGGATATTCAAAGCACCAAACAGAATATGCACACTGACAAGTGGACCCCTGGAGGCTCAGGCAGTGAGCATGGAGAATAAAGCAGGAGGTCAAGGGGCTGCTCCTGGGGCATGAAAAAAGGAGAGATTCTAAACGCTGCCTGAGGAAACTCTAATTGTGGTCAGAGAGTGATCAGTCTCCAAGAAGTATGGCCACAGATTTTTCTCCTGTTGTTCAGAGTGTGAACTGACAGAGAGCTCGCACCTCCCCAATTGTCAGAAAGCTACAGAGGTTGTCCAAGGGACAGAAAGCTGATCTGGATAATGTATAGAAAAGTGCATTTAAAGGGTGTGTGTGTGTGTGTGTGTGTGTGTGTGTGTGAGAGAGAGAGAGAGAGAGAGAGAGAGAGAGAGAGAAAACAGTGAGAGAAAGAGAGAGTCCACTAAAGCTAGGTTATAATGTAGCCTGTGGATCTTCTTTTGGAGGGTCTTGCTAGAAAACACCAGAAGCTTTAGAGGTGTCTTTCTTAGATGGATATTTGAACCAAAAGCCATGTATATTGGAAATGCTTGCTTTCTCTCTTGGTTTTCCTTATTTGACATCTCCGGTCTCCTCTACTGCTGGTACACCATTGACAAGCATGTTCAAAATGCTAATTTAGTTCCTTTGAGTTCCAAAGACCAGTTTTATTAAATTAATGATGCTCAAAAGAACCCCACATGAATATACGAATGGAATAGTCTACCCAAAAGCTCCTGATCTTAGGTATGATTAGTTTTAGTGGTGGACATGACCCATGTCTTTATGTGGCATAACTCAGTCACTTGAACAGATGTTGACAATTCTTTAAAACATGTCTTGGTCTTAATTTCATTTAAAAATATCAAAGGTATCATACATACAACATCTCCTGGTGGTCCTCTGGGGCCCATGGAGCCTGCAGGTCCTTGCTGACCCTAAAATAAAAGGTGACAGGCACTTTAACTAAAAAAAACAGATTGTACCTGATTATTTGTAAAACATGGTGTGACCTTTATCTGTAGAAAGTTGAACTTTCCACCATCCCAGTTTCTCTGTATAATACTGAAATGTGCTCTGGGCTTATCAAGATAGTTTCCAGATGTTTTTATTTAATGGATCTATTCTCCACAGCAGGTGATACCTGGATAACTTGCTTTACCCACAGGCTGGGAGCACACCACATTAATTTCTCCCACACTTCCCCAAAGCTACTCTTTCTTGAGACACTCCCGCAGAATCCCACTTGGGAAACTCAAGTGTCTCAGGGTTGAATAATTTTGGTTTAGAAACTGAATCTTGAATCCTGTTCCTTTTAAGAATACAGCTCAGGATCATAAATTCAGCTCACATTGTTTATCCTTACAGCTTTCAGGGATGTTATTGTGAATATACTCTGAAAAGGAGTTTAAAAATCCTATTGCGAACCAAAAGGCACAGTTACTATGTGTGTAATAAATGTAGCCAATGGGGGAAAATCACCATGGAAACAGGATAAAGTCCTTTCTTCTTGTGAAGAAAGTGAGTGACATATAGAAGCTCCTGTTTCACACAGAATGACAATAATGCCCCAAATTATTTCCTAATTTATCTTAGTTATTTCTTATATACCTTTAGTCCTGGGTTTCCTATTAAGCCTGGGGGACCAGGATCTCCAGGTTCACCCTAAACATATGGAAGAGAGGGAGAATTAGATGTTATTTTAATTTTCATAACCTCATTAAAGTTGGAGATGCAACTGAAGAATGCCAGATTACCTTTGTTCCTTGTGATCCTATCATCCCAGGTTCTCCCTGTAAAGAAAATAATCACTATATGTATAATACTTAAATTCAGATAGAGATGGAAATCTCTGATACTTTAATTGAACATCCACAGATTAATATATAATCAAGGGGGGAAATTATAGAAGATATAATGAAATCAAGGAGGAAGGTTCATTCTAAAACATGACTTAAAATGCTTATTGCTAATAAATATACAATAGTATCTTCTTTCTTCTTAATAATAGTTTCCCTCCCATATTGTCACTTTTGACACTGTGATCATATTCCATTAGCAATCACTGAATTCTCTACTTAGATGACATCCTTATAATTTGCCACTAACTAATCTCATGTCCTAGAGAATTAAAACTTCAGAAGAGAAATGGGGGAGAGTAGAATTTAAAGTAATATGTTAGCCTGAGCAAGAGCAAGACCCCATCTCTAAAAAAAGTAGAAAAATTAGCCAGGCATAGTGATGCGTGCCTGTAGTCCCAGCTACTTGGGAGGCTGAGGCAGGAGGATCACTTGAGTCCAGGAGTTGGAGGCTGTAGTGAGTTATGATGACACCACTGCACTCTAGCATGGGTGACAGAGTGAGACCTATCTCCAAAAACAACAACAACAACAAAAACCCCAAAAGAATTTAAGGTAATGTGTATTGGCAATTCTACTATCAAGTATATGTACTTAATGAAAAAACTCCCAGAAAATACAAGGTTATACAAAATAGGACAATATTGGCTATAATAAATTTGCTTTTCTTTACTATGACTTCTTAATTTGATAAATCCAATTTGTGCATTAACAGAATTTTTGAAAAAACCTCATCTTCTATTTTAATGTTGTACTTTAGATATACTATGTGGATGTCTTTCATAACATTTATATTGAATCACTACTAGTAATTGGTTTAAGAAAGTATATAAAATCCAAACCAAATGTTAAAGTATGCTCTCATAATAACACTTAACAAGGTTTAAAATTTCTCATTTATCAAAATGAAAGAATAAACAATCACAGAGGAAAAATCAAAATGCCCAGAGAGCCTATTTAATCAAATCTATTAGATACCAAAGTAAACATATCAGTAATCAGAGATAAAGAAATCAATGAAGTAGAAAACCCAAGACACTGATAAAACATCTACTTACTCTATCTCCCTTTTCACCTTTTGTAAAAGGTTCTCCCTAGGAAAATGGGCAGAAAACAGAATCAATTTTAAACACTTTTAGAAATAAACTCTCCATATCTGGGTGTAGATAAATCCTGCAGGTGGAACCCAGACCTCCACTGCAGACAAATCTCCAAAATGACCCAGAACATCACACAGTCTGCCTTTGCCACTTAAAGGAAGCATGGAAGAATTAATTTTAAAACTCTTTCATATACCCAAATGAACAATGAGTTAATCATTCTAATGCTGTTTAGAGAATTCCCTTCAAATCCTGTCCAAGGCCAAAGCTGCCTATTGCCTGTTTCATGTACGAGGTGACCACACACACCTCTAACGGGAGTCAGAATGGGTGTAGTGGCAACCACGTGTGCAATGGAAAGACAGTCATTTGAATTCTTCCAGTTGGTTAATTGTATGCTTGAACATAGGAAATCATTATTTTTGAAATACTTCTTAAATGTTAATGAAAATGGCTTGAAGGGGTTAAATACTGGGTGAATAACAGGACTGTACAAGTGTGTGCAACTGATAATAGATCTTGTTGGTTTAGGTATGAAGATCCTAAGGGGAGATGGAAGCTTTGAGAGGCCACCTCTTATTAACCAATGCTCTCCTCGTTGCCACTGTGTTACTATTACCATAAGCCAGGCTTAACACAAACAGACAGACAGACAGACACATACAGACACACATGCACACACAGGCTTTGTGTTACTATTAACAGCTTCTGTCCTTGAAGTCACATGCACATGATCTCATTTAATCTCACAGCAATGCTGTACAAAAAGCTATTACTATTTCATTTTAAGGGTGAGGAAAGAGGCTTAAGGAGGTTCAGTAATTCTGAGTTGTTATAACTCCTTCCATTTTCCTAGGATAGCATTCATTCTACTTTATGTTTCCTTGTATATCTTGGCTAGAAACTGAGCGTAGGGATGGATGTCACATCTTGCCTATCATAGCATCTCTGGTGTCTCACAAAGACCTTTCTGTTGCTGGTACCTCATCCAAGTTTATTAAATTAAAGAATGTAAATTCATACATATATAATAAGAATAGCTGACACTTATTGAATTCTTACAATGTATCAAGTACTATTCTAATCACTTTATATTGATACATTAACAGAGTTAATTCTCGTGTCCCCATGGGGTGGGTACAGTTATTAATAGTATACTCATTTACTGATGAGGAAACTGGAGCATAGAGAAGTCATATAATTTCCCCCAGGTCACATAGCCAATAAGAAGTGGTTCAGAATTTAAACTCAGGCAGCCTGATCTCAATCCCAGGCTTCGTTAATTTAGTCTCTCTGATTTGATTTATAATTTGATTTATTTATTATTTGAAGTCAGTGTATTACCAGTAAGATGGAAACCATAAATTTTTAAATTTTTTTTTTCTTTTGCATGTGAAAGTCTGGAGAAAGTGTGGGAACAATTATGATAGATATTATACCACTCTCAAAAGTTCTCTTAGGGACTGCAATTATTCTCTTGAATGAATCACTCATGAAGATTAGTAATTAAAAGAGCCTCTGCTTTTCACCTCGTGTCCTGTGTGGGCTATGGGGCTCACCTTTTCTCCCACACTTCCCAGTTCCCCTGCAGTTATGTGGGGCCATGTAGCTAGTGCTGGCAATGAAACGTAAGCAGAAGTGACAAGTGTTAGTTGCAGGCTGAGGCAGTGAAAAGCCCATTTATAGTTCTCCAGTCCCCCTTCCCCTGCAGTGGTGACTGAGACGGTTGCATATACCAGAGGGTGTAGCTTCATGATGATCATCAGCCAGGTAACTGAGCATAGTGTGGAGCAGAACACCCGCCCCTCCCAAATGAACCACGCCAGGCACGCAGCACCAGCAAGACAGAATCTTTCTTGCACCACGTCACAGAAGTTTTAGGGTTAGATTTACTTGGTATCGCATAGCCTATTCTGAATAACACAGCCGGCTGTCCATATCTGCGGGTTCTACATCCACAGATTCGACTAACCCAGGATAAGAAATATTTGGGAAAATGTAACAATTCAATGATAAAAAATAATACAAATTTAAAAAACAATGGTATAACAACTATTTACACAGTATCATGCACATGGTAGGTAATAGATATTATAAGTAATCTAGAGATGATATAAAGTGTACAGGGGGATGTGTGTTGGTTATATGCAAATATTGTATCATTTTGTATACAGGACTTGAGTGCCTGTGGATTTTAATATCCGCAGGGGTCCTGGAACCAATTCTCTGCAAATACCAAAGGACAACTGTATACCCCATATCTATCCAACATCACTACATCTTCTATTAATATTATTGGTTAATTCCTATACATTAGATCAGGGCTTTATGTTCTTGCTTTTCAGTCTTCATTCTTAAAAAAATCTATCTTTTAAGATAGGAGATGATGCTAACTAGATAGGAGCAACGAATCACATTGCTTACATTATTGCTTGTTTCTGCTTATGTCACACTGCTCATGTCATTGCTTATTTAGAGCCACTGTCAAGCTCGAAAGCCACATTGACTAATGTAATTGGCTATAAAAAACAAAACAAAATAAGGCAAAGCAAAAACAACCATGAGCCGGTTGTCTAGGCTGTTAATCCTAGCTCCATTGGCTACTATCTGGGGCAAGTCAAATTTTCACAGCCTCCCTTTCTTTATCTAGAAAATCCTGGTGTTTACCTAGATGATATTTCAAGTATATTTTAGCTCTGATATGTTATAAATCTAGCCATATTCTGAATGTCCAGAAGTGGGGGACAAATTGCCATTTTAAAGTTGCCATTTAGGATTCGTGGTTCAGAATTCAACTTTGGATTAAGGCTACTCTTCTGTTGGGCCTTCTAGTTATTATGTGAAGTCAAGTCTAGAACCTGTTCTGGAATAGAAAGCTTGAGACCACAAAGAGCTAATCTGCTCTGCATAATAATGCAAAATTTGTGTTTTTTAAATGTGGGAATGGGGAAGGCAGGCAGGCAAAGATGTGTGGGGAAGGTAGGATAATTGACGGAGAAGAGGGAATGGGCAAGGAAGAGTTAGGAGGAAAAGAAGCTTGCTTCCTCTGGAATCTAAAGACCAGGTTATAGCTAGCCCCAGTGTTAGATAGGCCGCCCCTAAATGTTGGTGGAAGGAGGGAAAGCCAGAGGGAATCCCCTCGGGAGGGAAAGGTCTGTCATCCCAGGAACTATCCTTGCCACTTAAAGCATGGTCCATGGACCAACAGCACGGTGTCACCTAAGAACTTGGGAGAAATGCAGACTCTCAGGCCCCACCACAAACCTACTGAATCAGAATCAGCAGAATTGCAGTGCACTTGCACATTTGCTAAGCATTGCTCTTCTCATTGAAAGTTTCTCCTTTCTGTTCTATAGTTCCTTGCTTTTCCAGGGGAATTAACACTTGATCTTAGCCAAAAAGGCTGAGAAGCGATAGGGGAATTTAACAAATCTTACTGCAGGGTCCTCCCTGCGTCACATGGGAATTAAGAGAAGGTGGGTGTCAGTGTTCAGGCTTGGAGGGGAGACAATGGAGACCTAAAGAATCAGTTTAGAGATGATCAGAGGAATGTCCAGGTGTGAAGCATCAGGAGTGAGTTGGCAGGTGGGAGAGGCAGCAGCCACCAGGCTGCATTTGTGGGCATATAGGGTTTCCTAGACATCCCTGGAAATATGCCTGGAACCACATCCCTGGAACCACATTAAACATTGCTAAATCCCATAGCTGCATAGGGAGGTTTACACTGCATCTTAAGGGCAAGCAGGATTCCCGAAGGTAGAACCGGGGTACATAGGCCACGGCACGGATTCTAAAGCTGCCTGAAAAACTTACTGTTATTACTAAAGTTGCCTAATTTTTTAAAGCTGAAGTGCATGGAAAATGTGGCTTTGTAACATTACTTTTAATATTGTAATGTTTTTCATACAGGCATTTTAGTGACTTCTTCATTCTTTATCCTTGGTAAACAAATATCCCTTATTCACTCTGACGAGGAAAGGGGTAAAAGTGATTTTAAAAGATGTATTTTTTTAAAAAGTAAGGATAAAACATGTGTTAAATCTGATTCTTGATGATTCTTGAAGGCTGCTGATTTTTATTCTTTTAGCAGCATTGAAAAAATAGTCATCTTTTATATCTAGTATTTCTATAATTTCTTTAGGTAGTCATATTTGAATATAAATGAAACTACAGGTTTTTTCCCCCTACTAAAAGAACTAAGTTTTAAAAGAAACTGGCCACAGTAATATTGAATAGTGGCTTGGGAAGACACCTTGATCTTATAGGAAACAAGAAAGAAAAATAACCAGAAAGTATATTGAAAGCAGTTGTTTGAGCAGATAGATGTTTCCAATTTTTTTGGATAAATTAGTACCAGCCTTTTGATATTATATCTTGATTTTTTAAATTGATTTTAGTTATAATATTTAGTTATAATAGGGCAGCCTAGTGATTTTAAACCTTGGGTTCTAGAATCAGCCCACTTAGGTATGAATTCATGGCTCCAATATTTATTCACTGTGTGACCTTGGGCAAGTTATTTAACCTGTCTGTGCCTCACTTTCCTCATCTGAAAAATGGGGGAGATAATAGTCTGGACGTTTTTTAATGGATTGAATGAATAAATTACATGTAAGGGACTTAGTGCCCGGCATAGCTTAGACTTGCTTAAAGAGCTGATCTATTACTCATCATGACAGGGTCGACCAAGGTACATGGAATTGGGGCTGATTTGAAAAAATATTTTAATCCAACATTTTAGATATTCTCCCTCTGCCCTCAGAGCTAAAATACTTACAGGTTCTCCTTTTTGTCCTTTAGTACCAACAGACCCTGGAAATCCTGGTAGTCCAGTTTCACCCTTTCAAGAAAAAGCAAAGAGAGGAGGTTAGAGGAGTACCGTTGTGATTGTCAGATGTGGAGTAAGTGCTTGTTCTCTTCCTAACCATGGAATTTATCTACCAGCATCCAAGAGACAATTCTGAGTTCTGAATCCAGTTAGGCTATATGCATAATAGTATGTTTTTCAGCACTTCACAATGCTTTTATGTCTTAGAGAAATCCATAATATTTCCTTATGGTATTTTAAATAATGTGAAACAAAGTTAATTATTTTTCAAGGAAAGAAACATCCAGAGAAGAAAAAAATTATAATTTTGTTCTGGGATACCAAAAAATATAAATTTTTGTGATCCCAGAGGCATCAGATTATTTAACTCAGACAATAATCTAGACTCATTTCATTTCAGACACTTCTTTCTTTCTTTTTTTTGGGTGGGGGGAGTCAATAGTCATGTGAAGAAAAAAGAGTCTGTCAGCTGTTTCCAGCATTTATATTGCTGCTTAGATGATTGGCTGTGGACAAAGAAAGCATTCTTGTAGATGCGGTGATAGCGGCAGCTTAGAAATATCTAAAATGCTCTGGTCAAAAGTCTTGAAGAGGGACTTGTATGTGACATATAAAGAGTATTTTCAGAAAATGCAATTTGAGAGATAAATCTTGCAGAAAGGACTTATATCACTAATATTTCAGAGAGTCCCAGCATTGTGTTTCCTGTTAGTGTTTACCAAGATCCCGGAATAACCACATGATTCTTTTCTTCATCTTCATCAATTTATTACCTCTATTATGTGTCTTTTTAAAATTTAATTTAGTTTTTTAATTTCAGCATATTATGGGGGTACAAATGTTTAGGTTACAACCATCTGTTTATTTTGAAGCCTCAAACAACAGTCTACCCCAAAGTGCTTCAAGTGTTGCCTTTCCCTCTCATTCCCCCCTCTGCAGTCAGAGCTTCAAGCGTGTCCATCCCCCAGATGGTGCACATCGCACTCATTATGTAAGTATACACTCATTATGTATGTATATACCCATCCCCTTTTCTCCCCTCCCTTCTGCCCGCCGCCCGATGAATGTTATCCCTATATGTATGTTCACTTAAGTGTTGATCAGTTAATACCAATTTTCTGGTGAGTACATGTGGTGCTTATTTTTCCATTCTTGGGATATACTTCACTTAAACATAGCCCCCAGAAGGTAGGTAATGCTGATTTTTTCCCCCCCGACTTCAAGAGTATTTTTTCAAGATGATGTTTGCCATTATATTTCTGGGCATATATCTTTCTTGCCTATCTGTCCATTTTTTAACTTTGAGAAAAATAAATACAGAAAACATAAAGTGGAACACACCAAATCTTCATGTCGCAGGCACCCAAAATGAAAGAAATGAAAATATTTAGTCAAAGAAGAAATCCCCACCAATTTCTGCTCTATTCCTACTCCAGAGGGAGCCATTCTCATGAATTTAGCATTTGTCTTTTCGGTCCTTACTTTTGTACTTTTACTGCATATGTGGAATCATAAGCAAGATATTGTTTTGGACATTTAAAGCAAATTCCATAAATATTTTATTTTGTGTATAATATTCTGTGACTTGCTTTTTTCACTGAGTGTTGTTTTTAATATGCATCCCTCTGATACGAGATCTAGTTCGTTCATTGTAATTGCTAGGTAGCATTCTGATGCATTCATGTACCAGGCTTATCGCAGCCCCACTGATAGGCACTTGGGTTGTATGTGGCTTTTCTCCATTATAAACAGCGCTGCAATGAACATCTCGAATCCTGTCCCCTTGTGGGGATGTGGCCATCTGTTTATTTTGAAGCCCCAAACAACAGTCTATCCCAAAGTGCTTCAATTACAAATTTATTACAGTCCTAAAATCTTTGGCTTATTTCTACATTTCTATCCTAATCCATATCTAGTGATTCTGTGTGATGGATAGACAAGATCATGTTTTTCTTAATCAATCTTCTAGATTTGTGGAATGTTTGGTAAGTTTAATCTTGATTTTATTAAATTTTTAAAACCTCATGTGATATTGTAAAATATATATTTGTTCTTCATCCCAGTTTCCTGGCACACAATTCCTAAAATCCTTAGAATTTCCAAAGTAGGGGGTTGTCTTTTTGTATGCTACTGAGTTGATTGGTGGCTGGGGGTCTTTAGGTGGCCTCAGGATGGGGCTGGTCAAAAGAAAGACCCAGGCTGGATTAGAGGGTTGGGACTTTTCAGCCCCAGCCCCCAACCTCTGGGGAGCAGAGAGGGGTTGAAGGTTAAGTTGGTCACCAATGATTTCATCAATCATGCTTACATGGTGGAGCTTCCATAAAAACCCAGAAAGACTGGATTTGGAGAGGTTCCAGATAGCTGAACACATGGAGGTTTCTGGAGGGTGGTGCACCCAGAGAGGGCATGGAAGCTCTGCACCCCTTCCTCTATACCTTGCCCTGTGCATCACTTCATTTGTATCCTTTGTAATATCCTTTATAATAAATGGATAGACATGTTTCCCTGAGTTCTGTGAGCTGTTCCAGGAAATTATTCAAAGCCAAGGAAGGGGTGGTGGGAACCCTAATTTATAGCCAGTTGTCAGAAGCACAGGTAAAGCAACCTGAAGTTTATGATTGGCATTTAGAGTGGGGGCCGGGGGAGTCTTGTGGGACTGAGCCATCAACCTGTGGGACCTGATGCTACCTCCAGGTAGACAGTGTCAGAATTGAGTTGGATTAGAGGACACCCAGCTTTTGTCTGCTGCAGAATTGCTTGCTTGCTTGGTGTGTGGGGAAAAAACTCCCATGCATTTGGTCACAGAAGTATTTTGTGTTATGAGAGTAGATAGTAGGAAAAACTGATCACTTCAGAGCTAATTTTTATACTATCCGGCTTTTAGCCAGTAATATTAAGGCTCTGGGAGAGCCAAGAAACCAAATGGATAAGAAGCCAATTTGCAGACTTCTTAGTGTATGTATTCTAGAACAGCGTTTCCCAAAGTTCAGACATTGGTACACCAAATGCATAATTTTGCTATGTCCATATACCACCTATATATTCATAGCTTATTTCTTTCTCTAAATTCACTCATATTGTAATTTTACATTAGATTTAAATTAATTTAAATCTCAAATTAAATTTAAATTAATTACAGATGATATGCACCTGTAATCCCAGCTCCCCAGGAGACCAAGGCAAAAAGATTGCTTTAGCTCCGGAGTTTCAGACCAGCCTGGCAGCATGACACCTCCTCACACAAAAAAATTTAAATATATTTATTATGTCCTTTGAAGTAGTATCCATGAAATTTAAAATTTAGTGTGCTGGATATTTGATTTCTTTCCCTAATACAGAGTAAAATACATAAACGTTGCTTTTTCTAGTATCTAAACATCTAGTGTAGCATCAGTTTTATACTTGCCACACCGTAGGAAAAGCCATTTTGTTCCCCTACAGATGATAGTAAATTATATTCAAAGTGAGGAGAGGGAAAAGTGGGTGAATACATTTAAAGGACCAATTTTTGTTGGTTTGAAATAATCAATTGGCCTTGCATGAACACTGGGTGTACAGAGTGACCTTACTGTTACCCAGCCAGTAGGTGCTAAAGTCCCCAGTGCATAGATGTGAAGGAAAAATATGCCTAGCAATTAGACTCACCCAATAAAATAAAAGTAGAAAGCAGGGAAAGGGTCTAGAAATTGCTTATAAAAATCACATCTGACCAACATCAAAGGTGGAAGGAAGGAGAATGTACCTGGAGAAATAAGAGTAATTGCATTCCTAGCTGTTATACATTTGAATTGATGTAAATAGGTCTCATTGAAATATAGCAGAAGGACCCAATGGTTGTAGTCCATCTCTCTGTGCGGTCCTTGGGTGACATTGAGCTCAGAGTAGATCTTAGGGACCTCTTCCCTCATATAAAATTCTGCAAACAAAGGAATTTTCTACTTGAATCTTAGACACCCATAGGGTGGCTTTTTATATTTAAAATGGATATTCAGTGATTTATCACTGCGGATATGAGTTGAAAGACAAGTGACGAATTTACTGAGCATGAGGAAGGGCTGTCCTTCAGTTTGACACTTTCAATGCTATCCCCCAAAGGCCTGGTGCCTTGAGACTCCATCTTTTTCCCCCAGTCTGCCCCCAAAACACCTGCTATTTTCGCAGTAGTCCTTAGATATTCTGCCACCTTGTTCTACTGTCTTTATAAAGCAGCAGATCTCCTCCAGCAACTTGAAAATACACTATCCCTCCACCACATCCTGTTGGTCCCAGGCAAGCTACAGAGCAGGGCTCATCCTTGCCATTTACTGTTTACAGCAAGTCATGTTCCTTGGTAGTTTTTGTATCTTAGTATTCTTGATACACGATGTGGCTGATAAACCAGGAGTGATTTGTATGTATATTCCAGTGCTGTCTGTGCTTGTTCTGGAGCTTCATTGTAATGTTCAGTTCCAAATGGTAGGCTGTTTCTGTAATTCTATTTTGCTACTCAGTGCATTGAGAAGTGGCAGATTATACAGCAATTATAAATCATTTATGTGTTTAATTATACTTCTGGTTAAATCTTTTGTTCTACAGCACACATTGAGTCCCTTCTGTGTCAAAATTATGGTGGGAGATGCAAACACGAGCAAGACCAGGTGCGAAGAATGGTAACAATTAATACCAAAAGTGCCAAAGGAGAGTTCGTGAGAGGAAAGAAAGTTTGATATGGGTGAATGGAATAGGACACATATTTAGTGAGGCTTCATATGCGTCAGGTATTGTGCTCTTGGGTAAGTTCATATCATTTGATTTTAATCCTCCCATCAATTCTGTGTGTAGACACAATTATGCCCATGGTACAAGTGAGGAAACTGATGCTTAGAGAAATTAAGTGGCTTTTCCAAGCTGACCTAGCTGATAATGCCACACTCAACATTTTGTCCCAAAGCCCATGCTCTTTCTACCACTCAGTGGTTCTCAACCCTGAATGCATGTTAGAATCATCTGAAACGCTTTTAAATAATAGATATATGGTCCCTGCCCTCAAATCAGAGTCTCTATGGGTAGGACCGGAGCACAGGTATTTTCTAAAAGCTCTCTGGATAATTCCAACATGTAGCCAGAACTAATGGGGTCCATCACAGGTGCAAGCAAAGGTCTGTGAAAGCAGCTTGAAGGAGCTTTAAATTTTCACCATGGTGATCCATGAACAACATTATAATTTTTAAAACTAATGCATTTATTCAATTCAGATACTAAGTGGATGTGTATAGGTAGAGCTGATTTCAGTCTTCTAGCAACTGCTATGCTCATGTTAAGTTAATTTTATGCACTATTTATTGGCAGAGTCTTTCCCCTGCTAATTATAATTTTTAAAAATCTTTTCGTATTTACATTTAGATCAGGTACTGCATCAAGTTTTTTGTAGACTCTTCTAGGTTATTTATTTGGGTGAGAGGAGGGAACAGTGATGCCACTGGCTTTTTCTAATTCCACTTAAGATTCTGAAGCAATTAGAAAAGATTTTGAGCGATAGAGAAGGTCCTTAGAGTTTGAAATACACCTGTTTTACAGAATCAAATTTCTCATCAGTGAGGTCTTAAGAATTCCTAAGTAACATGTGTTTCCTAATGAACACAGCAAAACAGAAGCCAGCTGTTTTTTTTTCTCAAGAAATGAATCATCATTTAAATGCTTTAAAAGTGTCACATCTCTCTTCTTTGCTCAGCTGTCCTGTGTGACAAGCTTTGTGGCTTTCTTTTTCTTTTTTTTTTTCTTCTCTCTTTAGCCTGCATGTGTCCAGTAGTAATTGCTTAAAATGTAATGTGTTTGCGATGGTGGTGTATGGTGTCTGTGAGCTATTGGGTTACAGGAAATAATGCTAATGTACTAGCAGTAAAATCTTAGACACATAAATGACTCATCATTGCTAGATAATCAATTTTGGGGTGTCTTTCTCAGAATGTTGAGGTTTTATTTATTTCTTTTGCAGAAAATGTCAATCATCAATTTCTAAGAAGCTCCTAGTTTCTTTAGAGACTATCTTTAGCAGTATTTTCTGGTGATGGATGTGTGATTTTTTTGAATAGATCAGTTGCACTGATTTATAAGGTGCAGAAGTCATATTTTCGTGGATTCATGTCAAAATATCCTGCCCTCCATCAACAGAAATTTTACTGGGTGAATGAATGAAGGTAGCACGCACAGGCCACATTTTCTCAAAGTATCTTCAAACCTACTCATCTCTGTCTATAGATTTAATATACATTGGTGTTTTTTTTTTTTCATTTTCTGACAATGACACATTCACACTGAATCTAAGGTCATTACAATTTCAGAATCAAACAGAAGTGAAACATCTTTTTTGAGTGGGCAAATGGATCTGTCATCTTCACAGCTAATATAATTAAATCTGTTAATGGTGACAGCAAGAGTGCAATGGAAATTCATGTTTTAATTTTAAAACTTTCAAAATCATTATTTGGTTGAACCACTACATTCTAAAACCCCACCAAAAAAGGCTCCCATGACAGCCTGTGTTTTGGTACTTAAAAGGCACAAAATAGTGAGCCAGAGGCATTGTGCCAAGGGGGTCTTCAGACTGTCTTTGCCAAGTTCACAATTCATGAAACATCTAATTATAAAGCAAATCTGCGTCCTAATTTCATTTACCTTATTAGAGCTATTTCTCCGTGATATGTTCCCTTCCTTGTGGCCAATTGCTACTCAGCAGTCTTCACTGCAGCCAATTCTCCTGCCCCGTCAGGAGGCAGGTGGGGGTCCGGCCGCTGCAGGCTGGACAGCCTCCTGGGGACAGAACCCAACTGCCACAGTGGGACTGCCCTTGAGAATGCCCCTGAGAATGTGTAAATCAGTATAAAACACTGTGCCCTTTTATTCACTTTGAAAATCTGATTACCTTTTCTCCTTTCGGACCCCCAGCTCCATATTCACCGTTTCCCTAGGTAAAGATAAAAACAAATAAAAATATAACAACAACAAAAATGTCCTCTTATCTTTAATGCATTCAATCTTTGACAACGTAAGTAGTCGGAAGAGAGTACTCTTTTCCACAGCTTTTTGTGGATACTAGGTCACTTTTACATATATCGTTGTCTTTCTCACCTTTTGTTAAATATTCCTATTACCCAGTACATATGCTATTAAATAACTCCAACTTTGGAGACCTCATCTGTCTTCATGACTTTCCCCAGGAAATTGCTCCTGGAGAAACGTCATACCTCTGGGGTCAAATTGTCGCACTTCACACACACATTTGGCAACCTCAGTTGGCCTCTCCATATATCTGTCTGAGCTTCTCCGGTCTCTTGCTCTTCCTACTCTCAAATCTCCTTTATTGTTCTCAGACTACTAAGTTGGATTCCACTTTCCCTGGGCAGATGGCCTTGCCTGTTACTAAACTGAAAAATACAAGTTCGCAGGGCACCGCTTCAAATTCCTACCACTCAGCCTACAAACCCACGTGCATGCACTCTTGGCTGTAGTTGATGAACTGTCCCTATGTGAGTCCTCTGAATCCCATACCCTCCACCTTGTTAGGAGGTTTGCCTTATTAATGTTACCTATTGCCATTAGGTGAAATTGGTCAATTTGGAAAAATTAAGCAAAATGTAGCTAAAATTGGCCAATTTCGTTCACAGCTCTCTCTCTCTCTCTGTCTGCCTACCTACCTATTCTACCTTCTTCAAACTTAACACAAACAAATCATGCAGTTACCTGGGCACACTTTTCCCTCAAGCTACTCTCTCTCCTCCCATTTCTGGACAATTTTCCCAAAGGGGCAGCTTGATGCTTTCTGTGTCCACTGACCAAGACAGGCTTAAAGTTTTCCTGGGCTGGAATAAACTGTAGGCACGCTTGTTCCTGACTCCAGGCCCTGACCTCCTTTTTCTTGGATCATTTACTTTAGAAAACCTGTATTTGTAAATTCTTTCTCTAGCCCTTTGAGATGTAAATCTTTTAAAAAGCCTCTTGTTGGTTTTATAAACCAGGAATGTCTTTCTCCAGGATCTGGAGCCATCCCTTTAAAATGTAAACATTAAGAAAGATAAAGCCCCTATCTCCCGGGCTCTACCAGAGGGTAGGAGCCTAACTTCAGCCTGTACCAAGTGGGAAACCTTCTTCCTGTCACAAAGATACAAGAAAGTTTACTTTTCCTTTGAGTAAAGCCAACTAGCAAACATAAATAGGTTGTGTTCTCTGTCTCACTTCAATAGTTAATTCTCCTGCCCTTTGTTTCAGTGGGGTTGAGTTCAGAATGAGTCTGGCCTCTCTCTTTTATTGGAATAGTTTTTGGATAATGTCTTCCTCACCTGTTTAACTTTGTCAGGTGCAATTTTTGCTTTGACACCACATATTCATCTTCCATGTGCTTCTAAGTTCACAGTGATTTGGCACTGGCCCCAGCCACTCCACTGATTTGGCTCTCTGATATTATTAATGATATCTTTGTTGCTTAGTCTAATGGACTCTTCATTAATTGACCTCTTGGCTACACTTGCCCCTCTTGGCTCATATGATACCTCACTCTCTTGGTTTCTCCTATCTCTCCAACCTCTCCTCTTCCTCATTTATCTGTTAAAAGGTGGCTGCTTTGGGACTCTGTCCAAGCTTTTGTGACTCAACACTTTCTCCCAGGCACTCTTATCTACCCATCTAGCTTAGGTAATATTTACACAAAGACAGACTAATTTATATATCCAGCATACACCTCCCCTCTGAGGTGTAGACCCATATATTTTATTTTCTATTTGATATATTCCCTTGTAAATTCTAGGATCAATTCATATTTAACAAGTTCAAAACAGAACTATAAAAAAAAAACACAACAAGGACACACATATATGAGAGCAAAAAAAAAATATGAGAGTTACATCATACTGTTAACATTGTTTAGTCAAAAAGTGGGAGGATGATAATTAATTTCTTCCTAATGTATCTCTTCAGGTAGTCTTCTTAAAATGAGCAGTAATTCCATTGCAATTGGAAAAAAATCAATGAAAAAAAGAAAATCTGAACTCCTCCTCCCCCTTTTAGAGAACTCTTCCTCTTTCAGTTGGGGGCATTCTTAACACCACTCTCCTCCTTGGTCCTCGTGTACAGTCAGTCATCTAGTCTGGTTGACTCAAGCCCCCCAAGTCTCTCTGTGTGCTACCTGCCCTCACCCCAGGGAGGCCACCATCATGTCTTGCCAGGATTGTTGCAGTGGCCCTCTAACCTGCCTTCTACAATCCACTTGCTCCCCTGACACATACATTCTCTACATTGAGTCAGAGATGCCTTTAAAAGATATCCTGATCTCCAGCCTTCAAAATCTTACCAAGACATCAAAGTGCCACATGCATGGACTCATTTCCCTCTTGAGCATCATCTTGGCCACTCTTTTCCCTCCAAAGTTCCAGTTGCGATGGTCTGCTCACAGCTCCTCAAATCAACCAAGTTCCTTCCCATCTAATCCTCCAGATCACCACTCTCTGTCCCCACATCTTGTCTGTCCAGCAACTCGTCAGTTCTCAGGTCTTAACTATCATATTATAAAATGCCATTCATGGAAGCCTCCCTCAGGTATCCCAGACAGGCTCTCGTGCCAGACCTTCTCACTGGACACTGTATTTTTCCTTCAAAATACTAACATTTTTGTGTTTGTTTTAAAAAATTTTGCACTAAAATTTAAGTTCCAGAATAACCTGGAATTGAATTCCCCATGCCTAGCATAGTACCTAATATATAGAAAGCATTCAGTAAATATTTGTTGAGTGAACAAGCCAATAATTCTAGTTCATGTGCTTTTCCCATTAAAGTTGTTTTTCTGACCAAAAATACATGTGTTGGTAGAAAAACTAAGAAGTACACAAACATTTAAACAACAAAAATATTCAGAGGCACCCATTCAGATCATTATTACCATAGTTCGATATTTTAAATGTACCTTCCGTGTTATTAGTGCTATTCCAATAAAAAATCAGTAGTTTATAAATGATGTTATTATTGGTCTTGTGATAGATATCCTCTCATTTTTTATGTTAACTTGTTTCATGACACCTAAATTGAAAATAAAAATTGTGTTTTCAAAAATCCTGAGTTATAAATTATTATCACAAACACTATTTGAAAATGAAGTATGAAACTAAGACACATACACACATCCATAAAGAATCAGTAGTTACAAAATAGTGGGTTGCTTGGATACAATCTGTATAGAAATATACATTTTAGAGATTTCCTGAAAACACTAGTCATTTGGGCATGGTGTCAACCAGTGTGCACAGAACATTGCATCTCTTCCTGGCTGTGCTTATTTTAGGATGTTTTGAGGAAAGCTAGAACATGCTTTGGTCTATGATATGACTTGCCCAGAAATGGTCTTTGTCTTGGGAGGCTTTGTGCTCTTGGATCACAGAGCAGAAGAACACCTAAAGTACCTCTGGTGAGAGCATTTTTCAGTGAAGCCCACCTCACCCCTCAACAACATAGAAGGTCTCGGAGATGCTGTGGTTAGAAGAAGAAATGCCTGTGCAGCACCAAGTCATACTGTTCTATCAACATACATTGCTATTCTAAAATCTTAATTTTTCTGGTGGGCTTTCATATCCAGAAAAATAACAGGGCCATTTATTGCCTATCAGAGCACCGTATGTTTGCTTCACTCAGCAGTGAGGCCAGCAAATCCATTAATCAAGGACCCTCAGTGGCCACTGGTGCTGTTCTCCACTCCTGGGTCAACAATACTTGAGGCAGATTTAAACTCGAAATTCCGTAGCATTTAGTCATGGACATGTGAGAGTCTCTTCCTTATTTTCTTCAAGCTAATTACACCAGAAAATCACCTGTCTTTACAGAAATAATAAGAGACACCATCTTTGTGTTTCTATTGTGTTTCTTCTGTGTTTCTATTGTGTATTCTTTGTGTTTCTTCCACTACTAATGCGGAATAGTAGTTCCGTCTCAGATGTATTCTAATTTTAAGAGGTTATTTTGTACCTTGGTGCCATGTTAAGGGTTCTTGTAAGCCTTCCAAATACATAATAGTGGTACGTTTTTAATGTGTTTCTTCTTACAGGATTGTGGTGTGTGTGTGTGTGTGGGGTGCTAATCTGCCTGCCCATCTCAAGAATTTTGGGATGTCAGCATTTATCCTTTGATTTCTGTGAGAAGTGGTGAATGAAACTTTGGAATCTATAGTCAGGGAAGTGAAAAGACTTGAGCTATTCTATTTGTCTTGCAGAGGGTATTCTCTGGAATAAAAGAATGTACCTGAACACATATGGACTACTGAACCATAGGAGATGGCCATATACTATACTTCTTATAGGCCCTAAAAAGTAAAATATCAGCAATGCTATAGTACAATTAATAAAAGAAACCAAGGATATGAACTCCCTCCCAGGACATGGGGTCATTAAAAATCCCCCAGTTCAGTCCTTAGGGAACTTGCTGTAATACCCTAGTACGTGCGGGGACATATAATTCAGAAAAACCAAGTTATTTGTTATGAGTTGAACTATGATGTCCCACACCCATTAATACGTAGAAGTCCTAACCCCCAGAATTTCAGAACTGATTTAGCAATAGAGTCATTGCAGGTGGTAATTAGTTAAGAGGAGGACTTACTGGAGTAGGGCAGGCTCCTAATCCAATATGACTGTGTCCTTATAAAAAGGGAAATTTGCCACAGAGACACACATACAGGGAGAACACCATGTGAAGATGACCCAGGAGCTACCCATAGCTGGGAGGGAAGCCTGGGACACATCCGTCCCCAGCACCTTCAGAGAGAGCATGACCCTGCCCACACCTCCATCGCGACTTCCGGCCTCCGGAACTGTTAGACAACAGATTTCTGCTGTTTATGCCACTCGGTTTATGATACTTTGTTGTGTAGTCCCAGCAAGTTAAAACATAATATGTGGCCTAAGAAGTCTGTGCTCACTTGAAAATAAGACCTAAGGCTGGCTCAAAAAAGTCCAACTTTTCAGCTACTTGCAAAACAAAAACAAACAAACAAACAAAACCCAAAAACATTTCGCCAGCTTCAAATGTGCTGGGTTATGAAAGGGTGGGAGAGGACCCAGGAAAATGTAGGAGCTCTCTAATCAAACCAAGATCCCAAAGTTCATATATCTCTGCCTGAGTCCACAATGCTCCCCAAAGCCAGTGGATCCTGGGGCACAGCCACAGCGGGGGAGAGAGGTGAAGTTAGGACTCAGAGTTCATTTCTAACTCTTCCGGGCCCAGAAGGGTTACCTGTAGTGTCTCCGAGGAAGCCTTCACTCTATGTGCTATTGTTGGGTTTAACTCACTACTTGGAAAGACCTGGAATATTTGATTTTGGATAAAGGTTTTCTGTCTTTTTTAGTCTGTGGATATTAAAGTGAGGTTATGATTTAGTACGTGAAAGGAAAAAATAGATTATTTTGCTAGCAAATTGGTTTATTGGGATCAACAATTTGGAGAAATGAACATTAGAATGGGTTGCTGGGAGGCAAAGCATCAGTCCCCAACAGCCGAGACCGAGTGTGGTGATGTAAGATAACACAACTTGCATTTTCAGCGTGGATTTTTAAAAGCAGTATCAAACGTAAAATTCACCAGTACTTGGCCTCCACAGGTAACGTTTTTTTCCCCCATCTAGAGTGTAGTCAGGGACTGTGGATCTGATGGCTTCAGAAGTTGACAGAGCCTATCAAATTTTTTATTAAAACCCCCAGAGCTGGAAACAATGAAGAGCAGTTTGATGGATCGTGAACAGATTTTCCTTAAGGGGAAGAATCTGCTCAGCATTGTTACTTCTTTGCAAACAATTTTGCAGAATGGGAGCAGCTGTTTTGCAAGTTATTTTTGTGATGGAAAGGGAAATCTACCTTTTATTCTTTGCATCCCCAAGTGGGCCTGCGTAAATACACATAAACACACATGTAATTTTTTTGATCTCATTACTTAGTCCGCCTCTCTCCTCTCTCTTCCTCATTTCCTTTTTTTCTTCCCCATTTCCTTTTTAATTTGTGCTTTGAGGGAAGAGAGTTTCTCGTGCCTGTGCTTCTCTCTCCGGGTAAATTGCAGAGGAAAAGATCAATTCCAGTGTGGATGCCCAAGGGCAAGTAAGGATGCCCGAGATGAGAGAACGGACCATGGTCTCTTTCCGTTTAGGACTGGGAGGGGAAGTGTGTGAGTATTCTGCTCCTCCTCCTCCCAGGGGTAGCTGCCTCAGCAGAATCTGGGCTGCAGAATCGGAGCTGCTGTGAGCTGAAGAGCTGAGGTCCAGGGCTCCAGTGCAGACAACACATAAATCAATGCCAATTTAAAAGGGAAGATTATTTTAACCTTGGAGTGTCACTTATATGTCTCAATACATGGTCCATTATTTAATCTCCAGGAAAGTTTCACTCAGGCCCCTCTTCTCTCTGTGCTCATTTGCTACCGCCAGGCCATCAGGCATGCAACAAATTGCACAATGAAAAAGCCTCAGCATTAAAAAACAGATGCGGGTGGGGGGGCACTGGCAAGTGAAAACATGCATCTTGCTCATCACAGCACATTTGGCCTTTTCCTTTGAGAAGCTGAGGGTGAGGAGGAAGTGATTACAAGACAGAAACATCAGTCAGTGTGGGTTCTGGGAAGGTGGGTCCCGCCTCCTCCATCCATCCTGGTGAGACCTCAGCGTAAGAGCTCTAACTACACTCAGAAGGAAACAGAATAAAGCGTTTGGTACGTTATCTTCCATTAATTTCCAGAGGGGCTGAAAGTCTCTGATGCTAAACTGTCATAGTGCAGCATTTGGGATAAAAGCTATGGCCTGTCTTCTTTATCCAGTCTTGCTCCAGCTCTCGAGTCACATGTAGAGCTTATGTGGACTAAACACCCAGGAGCTTCAATTCTGTAATGGCAATAATGATGGCTGGAGTTCTTTTAGGTGAGTTAATAGCTAAGTTCAAAGTGCTGGCTTTCTATTAGCAAGACTCTTCACTTGGCTGCTCTGGTCGGCCCCCAATTTTTTTTCTTTTTAAAAATATAACCTTAAAGTTTAACAATTTACATTCTCAACTTTAGACTGTAAAATATAAATGCTTCATATTTCTTCATTTAAGGGCAAACTGACTCATCAGCAAGATAAACTATATATAGAAGTAGTGTTGGGAGACCTAAAAGATGTGAGCTTTAAAAGTTTTGCAAAGATAGCAAATACTTAAGTAGCTGAATAGCAACTTGGTAATTTTTATACCAAGGGTGATGGTAATATAGCATGTTCTTTAAGTTTTTCTAGCTGACACTGTGACATCAGAGCCAGCTTATTCTCATTATTTTGAAGCATTTACGATAAATCCTATTTTATAACAGCAGGTGTCATTACAGTGATTAAACTTAGATATAGTTCAGCTTACTTTTTTTCATTTGTGTTAAGCCCTAATGTTTTTAAAAAGCTAGTATATATCTATTAGAGAAATGTTTAATAAAGCATCATAAAACATATCCTAGATATTCTTCCTAACATAATACTCCCTGGAAAATCTAAACAAATGACAACATTTTAAGTATGATGAACTTTCCACATGTCTGACTTTAAGTGTATCAGCCATAAATTATCTAGGTCTCTTTATGTTGCCCTTACTCTGATGAAAGAAGAATTGGGATCTTTTAATGAATTATCTCATCATTTGACATTGTTTTGAGCACTTGCTATCTTCAAGGTCTGTGCTGGCACAGAGTGTCCCTTTGAGATTTCTAAACAGAGAGGACCAACAGTAGTCACAGGAATTTGTAGGAAGGGAAAGCAAGAACATAGAAAAGAGAAAGGTAAAGATACGTTTCTCCAGTGTTTTCTGTGGTGCACGGTATCAGCAATGAGCTATTGTTTATATCAGACCCTAATCAATGGCCAGAATGCCTCACATGAAGTGAGCAGACCCCAAATATTTGTTGGTGAATGAAGAATCAATGAATGATGTCAACTAGATCCTCCGGTCTTGCTTGGTTACTAACACTCATTCTCATCCTGTTGTGCTTCCTTGTAGAACTGGGATCAAAAACTGTCTTGCCTTTTGCCACTCAGATACTTCCATGTCAGCATTCCACCTATCCCAGTTGTGATGAAAAAACCACCCCGGGAAGTTAAAAGTGCTTCTTACCAAGGTAGGGGACTCCCATTCTTGACTTTTGGTATGTAAACATTTGCTTGAGATTTGGGTTCAGTACCTCCTGGTTTTGATAAGAAATCTATCACCTGTTGTGCTACCCAGAGCTTCAATGCAGCAAATAATTTCTGTCCTCAGAGAAGCTCAATATACAACATCAATGGTGAACCACAATATTTTGCATTAGCAAACATTGAACTAAATTTTTAATTTTATTTATAAAGACAAAACCCTGGTATTGTAATAAGATATTAAGTAAAAATTTTTTAAGCATTTTATTTTTGGAAACATATCTTTCTGTATGGCAAGATGTTTAAGTATATGTGACCATATATTAAAGTCTGAGCAGTTAGGAATTAATAACTTTACTTTTTTTCAAAAATACAATCACATAAAATCTCTATGTATTATAAGTTGTGAAAAAAAAGAAGCCATACCTTGTTATAATATCCACCAAGACTCTGCTGTATTCCTTGCATTCCAGGAGGTCCCTGTATTATAAACAAATCAAGGACAAACATGTAAACATTTACCAAAACAATATGTATTTAAATAATATAACTAAGAACTCTTGAAATCATATAGTTAAGAAAAAGGAAGATTCTGTTTAGTCAAATATTCGAATAAAGAATTACATGGACATTAATTTATCATCAGGTTTCTAAAGGTATTTCTAGGTTAAATCCTGCATAAATCCAAGAGAGATCCTAAGTAGGACTATGTAACATTTTGCTAGAAGGTCAACCATCAGCATGTTCTTTATTAAATGGAATTGTGCCCCTAAGACTCTTTCAGGGAAGAGGTTGTAGCTTCAGTTTATTCTTGGCACTTCTCACAGGGCTTTTATCAATGTATAATAGAAATGTATGTCCCCACATGTTATTAATTTAGAAAATATGCAAGTAATATTTTTTTCTATTACTTTACTCTTTGGAGTAAATGTATGAAAATGGGCTGCACATTCTGCTATAAAACCTCAGACTTAAGACATTTAAATATTGGTCATCTTTAGTTGACCTGGGAATATTTACTAAGCAGTATGCTGAGATTGGGGTGGATAGGAAAGAAATAAAGAGATCAGTCCATCCCCAAAGCTTCTAGAAGGAGAGGAAGAGTAGAGTGGAGGAGAGAAAATGTTATGGAGGCAAAGTTCATAACACTTTACCTTGGAAGATAACACACAGAAAGAGGATGATTGAGCCACTCAAACAGCATCATTACACAAAGATTATTTTTTAAAGATGGAATGAAAGCTTTTCAAAGTAAAGAAAAATCTGAAGGATCAATCTCTAGCTGTGCTCACTGATACAGGTAACACCTTAGTTATATCAAAAGATTAATGTCGGTTAACATTTATGCCAGGTGTTTCTCATGAATGGCTTGTGACTGAGGACATCTTCTAATAGGAAGCCTTTGCACTGTGCCACTAAACATAAAGGGCACAAGATGTGGTGATGGATGCCTGGAAGCAGGTTGGTATAATTCTTGAGAAAATAATGGGCCTCGTGAGTAATGGAGCTGACTACAATTGGAAAGACAGATGATGCTGTTACCTTGCTGAAATAAAAACAGAGCTAATGTCAGAATTCTCATGGCATTATATACTTATGTTCTCTTTCCATCAGCCAGTTTTTTGTAAAATATTCTAGGTCAGTGAGATGAAGTAATGAGGAAAGCAACCATTGAACTGGGGGTTGTTGCACGAAGTTTCAAGCTAAGAACATGCTTCAGATCCAAGTTAAGAACTCCTTCTTGAAACTCAGGTGGTGTGAGCACCTACACACATTGATTCGTCTGCAAACATATAATGAAGCAAGGAAGAATTTTATACACCGTATGTAGTAGCATCAACAGGTAGCTTAGAGGTATATGCATAGCAGGCATTCAGTGAATCTGTGTTGATGATAAGGCCAAATAGATCAGAGAATAGTGATGGGGTGGGTAAATTTAGCTTAATACACATTAATTCATATGAAAAGCGAGAGTAGTAGTTATCAGGCTCCCAAATATAATAGAACAATTTCAAATAGAGTAGCAGAATCAATCAAATAATAATAGCAAACATTTATGTAGTACTTATTGTGTGCCAGGCAGTATAGCAGGAATTAAGTAATTTAAGCCCTACCATGACACCATGAGGAATGCTCCATCATTATTTCTGATTCAAAGATAAAGAAAATGAGGGTTGGAAATTGTTTCCTGGCCCAAGGTCACACCACTGGTAAGTAACAGGCTTAATATTCGACATCAGCTTTGGGCCCAAAGTCAGCCTTTCTTAATTTAAAGGAAGAATCTCAGCCTAATATCACTTTTGTAGTATTTTTTTTTTTTATCATGGTGATGTATATGTGCCTGAGAGAATACTAGGTGATCACTCTTACATGTTCTCCTCACCTTAGTGAAATTGAAAAAGAAAAATCAACAAAACTTGTACTTAGTACTTCTGATGAGCATTGCACTGTGCTTGGTATAGGAGGGGAGGAGATAAACACTCTGCTTTTAGATGTAGCCCTACTGGGTAGACAACAAAGGCCCCTTCAACTTCTCTTTGACTCTTCCATCTACCTTCATACATGCTCTCAACCCATGACATGGAGATTATGCCTGAATATTCCAAAACATGTCTCTCAATCCACTAATCCTCCACTATACTACTCAAAATGCATCCTATCTTTGTCTGTAGAGGTTGGGAGAGCAGCTGGTTAAGGCCTTCAGGAGGAGCTGTGGGAGGCAGTAAAGAGAAGAAATAGGAGAGCAAAGAGTGTGGTAGGAGTTGGATGACACAGAACATGTAGCAGTATGGCTGAGGATAGTAAAAATAATAGAATTGTGATAATTTTTAAAGAATTGGTGAGAATTGAGTATGACCCTTTACAGACTGGTTGTCTGCCCACAGAAGATAGCTACATTCCATAAACACAGTATATATTCCTCATCCAGGATGCTGATCCTGTTGTGCTTACCACTGGGGCTTGGGTGAGAAAATATGTGTGGCTCAGTGCAGCTGATCCCTCTAAAAATAAAGGCAAGAGCACAACTCACCAAAAGGATCCCTGAGCCAATAGAAAATTTGAACAATATTATTTAGATATCTACAAGATTAGTAAATTCAAAAACATTACTTCTACATTTTCATTTTTTTCTGTTGTTGCCATAAAATGTCACATCCACAAAGTAGTGCTCCAAATGGGTTTGATCTGAAGTTTTAGGCCCCACTAATTAATCTCATGATGAGCATTTAAGATGACATTTTCTTTTTCACTCTTTTAATCACTGGGATACTTTGGGTACTACAGATTCCAAGTTTAATGTAACAGAGATTTACAGCTAACAATCTACTCTGCAAGCAGTACTTTATACAAATACTCCTAGATGGCAGGAGGAACCTTGCAGAGACTAAAAGGAAATACCAGTAGGGTCTTCTGGAGTCTACCTCTATACTGACTGCACTGCAGTGCAGTGTAGCAGTGGCTCACTAGGTGGTTGTTCTGAAACTGTCAGACAGAAACAACTTCAATAAATGCAGGGGGTAGTGACCATAAATAAACTCTATGCATATAAGTGGCAAGAGCAACTCTCTGTTTAGAAACAGAGAGTTTCTCTCAGTTAGAAAAACTATACAGACCCTGTGGTCTTAGAATTGGTGGCTGTCCTAATGCCACATCCCCAAGAGACGCACTAGTTTTCTATCTTCTATTCTGGTCTGAATCATGGCTGGAGAAGATCAAGGAGTTGTTTATTTCCAAGTTTAGCAAGAGTTGTCATTCTTGTAGATTATCAATCAACTCTGAGGAAGAAGTTAAAGCCTTGTGGTAAGTGACAGATTTCCCAGCATCACATGTTGCTAGTATTAATAGATGCTACAGGGCACTTGAGAGATCACTTTCTCTGAGGTTTGCATTTATAAGGACCCATTTAAAAGTCCTGGGCCCAGTGGAGAAGATATGCCAACTATTGACAGCATGTCAGCCTTGGCTAATGCTCATAGTAGCTCTCCTAGGAAAACTGGCTGAGGTTTTATGGAAAGGAAAAATGTCCCAGTATCTTGTTCATGACAGGGACCAACAGCATGGCTGTATACAAATCATGGCTACACAATGTCTATCTTTTATGGAGCTCTGCTTCATTCTATGTGTGTGATGATTACACAATTATAGAGCATCTTATTAACAAAAATGCTAATGAACTCCAGGGAGACACACCTGTTCAGACCTCAACTGTACTGATGTGTAATTACCTCAGAAGTCTGTAAACCTAGTATGGGTAGAGATCCTGATGTTGTTTCCTATTGCAAAGAATCATACCTGGTGTGATGAAGTGAATTAAAGCAATATTCAATTTGGGAAGTATATTCTCTCAGCAATAGTTCTAGTAGAATTTAAAAAGTTTTTCACTAAACTCTTGTTGGAGGTAGAAAACAAAAATACCATGAATGTCTGCCACTGGAGTTATCAGATGCATGGTGTAAAAATGAGCTGTTTGCATTATCATCTCTTAGTAGATTTCAGTTTTGGCATACATTCTCAAAGTTTAAAAGATGGGAAGAATTATCTTTTTCTAGATCTGTGAAAAATGATGTTGGAATTTTAATAGGGATTGCATTGAATGTGTAGATCACTTTAGGTAGTATGAACATTTTAACAATGTTGATTCTGCTGGCCAATGAGCATGGTATGTTTTTTCATCTATTTATGTCCTCTGCTATTTCCTTCCTCAGTGTTTTGTAGTTTTCCATGTAGAGATCTTACACCTCTTTAGTTAAATATACTCCTAGATATTTCATCTTCTTTGTTGCCATTGTGAAAGGTTTTGAGTCTTTGATTTGGTTCTCAGCTTGACTGGTTTTGTTGTATATAAGTACTACTGATTTGTGTACATTGATTTTGTAACCTGAGATTTTTTGAATTTATTTATCAATTCCAGGACTCTCTAGGCAGAATCTTTGGGATTTTCTAGATTTAAGATTATATCATCAGCAAAGGTGATAGTTTGACCTCTTCTGCCCTCATTTTGGTACCCTTGATTTTCTTCTCTTGTCTGACCCCATAAAACAGGGGTCCTCAAACTATGGCCCTCAGGCCATATGTGGCCTGCCAAGGACATTTATCTGGCCTATCAGGTGTTTTTGCCACCACTGCCTGTCCTGCTTAGCAGCCGACTAGTCCCGGGCCCACAGTGCGCATGTGTGGAATGTGTGCCACACTCTCCAATGGCCCTCCAATGGTTTGAGGGACAGTGAACTGGCCCCCTGTTTAAAAAGTTTGAAGACCCCTGCCATAAAGCCAAAGTAATCTTAAGCAAAAAGAATAAATTGGGAGGCATCAATTTACCAGACTTCAAGCTGCACTATAAGGCTATAATAACCAAAACAGCATAATACTGGCACAAGAACAGAGACATACTGGCAGACCAATGGATCAGAACAGAGAACCCATATATAAAACCATCCTCATATTGCAATCTGATTTTTGACAAAGCAGACAAAAACATA